TATAAACTACTGAAGATTGGCTTCCAAGCTATGGACTAGTGCAATGGGGGCTATTGAATGTTGGGGACTTGAAGCACAAATTAAAGGCAGACATACCTCTTCTTTTTTATATTCTTTTTCATTATAGGGTATTACAAGCTGTTGAATATAGTTCCCCGTGTTATACAGTGGGACCCTGCTGTTTATCTGTTCTATGTATAGTAGTTTGTATCTGCCAATCCCAGACTCTTAATTTATCCCTCCCCACCCCACTTCCTTTCCCCTCTGGTAACCATAGGTTTGTTTTCTAGATCTGTGAGTTTGTCTCTATTTTGTAAATAAGTTCATTTGTGTCATTTATTTGGATTCCACTTATAAGTGATATCATATGATATTTGCCTTTTTCTGTCTGACTTACTTAGTGTAATAACCTCTATAACTGAATCACTATGCTGTACACTAGAAATTAACACAACATGTAAATCAACTATACTTTAATTTTAAAAAATGTAAAAGGCAGAAACAATGCTATAATGTGGCACTTTATTTCAACCACAAGCCCTTATTAAGTTTCCCAGTCTTGTTACGTCAAAGAGAGCAGATTGTTGCCTCTGAGACGTCATCTATGATTGTATCCATTAACCTGAAATCGCCTACTCATGATTTGTGACTTATACAACACGACCAACAGATCAGGAGCCATCGCATGCATTGGAGGGGGAATATATTCTCAGTACAGCTGAGTGTATGTTCTTTAGTTAAGCTTTCTGGTTGGTAGTCCAACCCATGTTTTATAAAGAGGCCCTACCCAGTGATAAGGGGCTTATTTATATTTCCACAGCCAGATTCTCCTACTATAATCTAGACTGCATCTTATGTAAGCACATGACTCACATGCATTGGTCCCTTTCCTGAAACTCAGGATGAGAGCCAACTCTCAGTTACCTGTGCTATGAGTGCCAGAGGCGACTGGAAGAACTGAAACCCATTCGTGATCCCCAACTTTCATTTTATACCAATAATCTTAACCTCCTCCCTGATGCCAACTGTAACTAGTGATTCTCATGATTACAGAAGAGGCCAAAGAGAAAAGCATAGGATCTGGTAAATAAAAAAAAATTGTATGATTATTGAATACTTGAGAGCTTGTCACTTCCATTCTCTTTAACAGTCAAGATCCTAGGAAAGGATTCTCTCCCAGCAGCCACCACCAACTCCTTTCATCTAGAGCAATCTAACTTCCACCTTCATCATCCACTAAAAATACTCTTTCAAATTTCATGACATTCAGAAGTCCAAACCAGTGGCATTTTCCCTCTTCTTCAGTTTTTTTTTCCCCTAGGTTTCTTGTATACTAGACAGTGTTGACTATTGCTTCAAATCTTCAATTTTTTTCCTCTTGACTTTCATACCACTATATTCTCCCAGTTACTCTCCTGGTTATAACCATGAGCAAGTCCTGTTGCTATAAGGTACATTCTAAGTACAGCCCAAGTTCAACCATTCCACTACTATCATCTTTGTCCTAGCCATGTTACAATTTAAGTGCATAATTAAAACAATCCCCTACCTTGTCTTCTAGGCTTGCCTTGCCCCTCTTTTAGTCTGTTTTCCCCAGAGCAGATAGACTGGCCTTTTGGAAATACAAATTTTATCATCACCCTATACCCAACCCTCTGATTATTTCTTACATTTGTAACAGAAAGCAAACACCTTACCAAAGCCTATACCTCCTCAATTTTCTCTGACTTCTCTTGCCACTGTTCACTGAGTATGCTCCAGCCATGCTGATCTTACTGTCTTTTGAACATTAGAGTCCTTGTATTTCCTGCTCCAGGTCAAAAAGACTTTGGCTCCACAAGTTCGTATAGTAGAGTTTGCCCCATCTCTCTACATCTCTTCTCATATATTACCTCCACAGAGATGCCTCCCTGGCCTCCCCGGCTAAAGCAGCCCTGAAACTGGAGTTACCTTACTTATTACTTAGTTTATCAATTCCCACGAGAACTTGGGCAAGTTACTCTCTGCTTCTGTTTCCTCACCTGAGAAATGAGTCTTATAAAAGTAGCTATATACCTCATAGGGCTGTTACAAGGATTTAACAAGTTATTACATTTTAAAAGTTTCACAGTAAATAGCCCTGGATAAGTGTTTGATACCGTTATTATTAGTAGTATTTATTTACTTCCTCTCTTTTCCCACTAGAAATACAAATTCCAGGCATTATCTGTCTCAACAATCACTTGTTATCGGCATGTAGAACAGTGAGACACATACTAAGACTTCAATGAGTAACTGTTGAATGAATGAGTGAAATAGTGAAGTGTCTCTTTTGCCTTCATAGGCTCCTTTTCTTTTTGCCAATTCCTTAAGTGAAGACACTTCCTTGGAGTCAATCATTGGCTTTCTTGGCATTGTTCCTCTACCCTCACTCCTTTGAAGTGTTTAACCTGAAATGTTTCTCTGGTATCAGGTGTAGTCCCTGTGATGGGAGTTTCCACCATTAAATTTTTAGCTCATACCACACCCTCAAGTTCCACACCAAGGAGGCAGCTCTAAGTAGATGGAAATTTGGGTCTTGTGAGACCTGAAATAATATATGAGTTCTGTGACTTCACTTGCTTTGTGACTCAGAGCAAACCACAGCCTTTCGGGAACTATATTCTCTTGTAGGTAATATAATTCTTCATCTCAAACTTCCATCTCTGAGAATGCATTTAAACAAAGAATTAATAGATGTAAAAGTGTTTTGTAAATTGTAAAATAGTACATATAATTTTGAGATATTGTCAAATACCTTGAACATGCTATTTCTACAAATACACTGCTCTTATATTCAACATATTTAAACTAAATTAATTTCCTTTTTCCCCAAATGGAATTCTTTCTCACTTCACTTTCTCTTATTTCTCATATCCAGTCACTAAACACTTGGGTTCTCCCATTGTGATGTGTCTAAAATTTTCCTCCTGCTCGCTGTTCTCCCAGGCATAACCTTAGCCAAAGCTTTCTTCAGTTTACATCTAGGTCATTACAACACTCCACCAGCTGCTCTCTCTGACCAGTCTTTTTCTCTCAATCAGTCTTCTCAAATAATCTCATTTCAATTTTCCTCAAACACCAGTTATATTCAATTTACATTACTGCTGTAACAAATTACTACAAATCTAGTGGCCTAACCAATAGAATGTATTACCTTACAGCCCTGTAGATCGGAAGTTTGACAGAGGCTTCCCTGGGCTAAAATCAAGGTGTTGGCACTGGGTAACATTAAGGTGTTGGCAGTGATGGGTCGATTAACAAAACCTGCATTAAACTAGCTTAGCCCATGCTTATTTTCTTGTTAGGTGCATGGCACCAGAGGCTTATGGGGAGTTTTTGGACGACTTTCTCCAAATATTTATTTGAATTCAGATAAACTGAATGTAGTACCTGTGTTTGGTTTTATATGATGGCAGTTACCATTAGCTGGTTACCAGAGAGGATTTTTTTTTTTTAAGATTCATGTTTTATGTCTCCCTCTTTATGAATCCATGGTGGAGGCTAGTAAACAGCACTTATGTTTTATAATATCTTGTGACCATTTAGGGAGAGATATATTCTAGAATTGACCAAAGTCAAATTCAGTGCCTACAATATCCTCTTCTTTAAAAATTGCAATATCCTATCTAACTCTGGTTTTCTGGATTTTTTTCTTTCTGCATAATGTATTCAAAATGATTGATTCCATTGTTGCTGTAAAAAGTTTAAGGTAAATCCTCTCTGAAATCTCTTGAAAGTGAGCCATTTCAGCACCTTCCAGAAGACCAGGTTTTTGGCTTTGAGATATAAGAAATATGAAGTTGAATTTAACTGAATGAGAACGTTGTAGAAGGAACACATTTTGAGGGGAATGTAAGCTTTTGAACATGTTACCTTTTAATGTCCAATGGCTATCCAAGTGGAGATATTAGATGGGTAGTTGGATAATGAATCTGGGACTCAGGAAAAACATTAAGGCTAGGACTGATCAGTATACTGATGACAATTAAAGGCATAAGACTGTGTGGAATAGAGAGTGGCTGTAGAGCACAAAATTTCCAAGACTGAGATCTGGGGGCCCTCTAGCATTTACAAATCAGAGGTGGGGAATGGAAGATATTAAGGAAGATCCAGCATGCAGCTGAAAACAGGTGAAAAACCAGATGAGTGTGGCATCCTGGAAGCCAAGAGGCTAAATTGCTTTAAGAAGTTTTTTTCTTAATTAACCCTTTGGGTTCTCAGACATGGAACAGAGTCAATCTGATGAGGTCCCAAGAATTTCATTTTACAAGAATTTCTGTTTCTTCCCCACAAAATTCTAAACTAAATCTCAGACTAATTCCTTATGATGGTTTGTTCTGCTGCCTCTGACATGGCCAGAGCTGCAGTAGAACTGGGGATGGGAAGACCTTGTTTCTCATGCCAGGTTCATCTCTTACTACCACTGTGACCCTGGACAAATTAGTTTACCTCCACGGAAAATGGTCATGGCTCTGCCTCCCTGCCCTACCCACAGGCTAATGAAATGGCCCAGGGAACTAATAAACGGGCAAAGCACCCTACAGATTGTTGAAGCACGGACCTCGGAAGCCATTGCTCTGACAGACGTTCAGAGGACCGTTTCCTGCTCTGAAGGCTTGGGAAAGCCAAGCCTCTTGGTTGGCAGATGCTGAGGGAATCACAGGACATTCTTCTGGCTGATGCGTCCTTTCAAAAGTTATTTCTCAGTGGGACAGCTATTCATTTTAGAAATACTTTCAAAAATACCCTTTAAAATATTCTTTTAAAAAATACTAACCCCTACATGATTAATGTAGTTCCTTATATTTCAAAGAAATTCATCACTATAGTAGGCTACAAAATATGATAAATTTATATAATGCTTTCTGAAACTAAAGCCATATGTCTTTATATCAAAACATATTGTAGACCTGTCACTGCTTTGAAATCCTTTAATGTAATATGGAAAAAAGAAAAAAAAAACAAAGAAAGAGACCATATTTATCAGTGACATTTTTAATGCAAGGTGTTTAATGCATTTTTATTTTTCAATTGTTTTTTCCAGGTTCCAACAAAAATAAATAAAAATTAATAATATATTATAAGTATCTATATTCTCCTTCAAAATCTTAAGGTACACAATTATCAAAGCTGATATTGAACACAAACAAATTGATACAATTCAGTACTCTCATAAAATTCACTGTCAAATAAGTTACTTTAAACTGTATACAATACAACTTTATGTTCCATAGCATCTTTAATATAAGCTGTATACCAAAATGGCTCTTAAGACTTGAAAAGTGCAATTACAGAGTGCAAAAAAAGCAGAGAGAAACTCACTGTCTTACATTTAGTATCATCCAATTTGAATAACATATATTTTGGATAAATTTATTCTTCAGTTAAAAGATTAAACTGTATTCCAGCAACGCTGTGCATACAAATTGTTATTCCCCCTTTGCCCATATGAATAAGAGTAGAAAAAGATTAGAAAATATCGAAATATTGGGCAGCCAATTAAACACATTTTCCCCCAAATGTCTACAGAATGAATATTGCAGCAAAAATGGCAAGGTGGGTCAGACAGGAGTTTTTAAAAACTATGTTATTACATTCAACAGAAATTAGAAACTAGTATGTATTTGCTACATAAAAATTGATTGATTTGTTATCTCACGGCAGTTGAATTTAGTTAACTCTCTTCTCAAAGACTCAAAAATAAAAATCTGTCATACTAGTGCACCATTTCTCCGCTTGCTTTGACTTTGGCAAATATAAGAGTAAAAGAATGTCCAAAAGAACAGTAGCATTTGATTGTATTTTTAATATTTAATATATTACGCAAATTTTAACTACGAGGTTGAATCTTGTACCAATCACAGAACTTTATGTCTCCGGTTATAGAGTACGTCAACTGGGTTACTGTGTGGCCTTGGTCGAAAGCCACAAATTATGCATTTATGCATTGGGTTTGCATTTGTTCTCATGGCCCCTTCTGGAAATACATATAGTGAGAAATATGTAGAATAAGGAAGATAGACTAAATGTGAGCCAAAATTTTTCCACTGTTTGTAGGAAACATGAGCTGATAGCAATCATTTTTCAAGTTTGCTCAGCATTATCCTCATTAAAACAATGATTTTTTTTTCACCCATTAAAGAGATCTGTGTCAAACCTTTTTATCATTCAATATGCATTTATAAGAAAAAATTTAACTTTTGCAGGGGTTAGCTTTTTAAGCATTCTTAAAGAAAGATTAAAAAACATCCTAAAATACTACTTAACATTAATTATGTAGTATGAACTGAGATGCTTAAGATAAACCAATATGACTCTCTTTTTGTCATAAAATAAATAGATTGTAGTTAACTTCTTGGTTCGTCAAGAAATTTTCTTTGAAGCAATCAAGATTACTCAAAATAAGCAAACCTCCTTTACATGCAGTAGATGTCAATAAGTGTGTGCAGGATTTAAGCTGTATTAGTGAGAAACAGAAAAATCCTTTTAGATCTTACTGAATTTTATTCAATTTCTCTTTATCTTGTTTTTAAGTTTTATATATTGTTGATAGAGCAACAAAAGATGGTTTTATCTGTTTGTTCTCCTAACAGTGAGGGCCAGACCCAGGACTTTGGATGACAGTCACATGAATGCACCAGGGTATATAAGGCAGGAATACGTATGGAGGCAAATCCTGGCACCTGGCACTTTAGAAGTCAGCCATCACTTACTTACTTCCTCTTTGTTGCCCTAGCATATTCCAAGAAAAAAGGTGAAAGAAGAGATCGTCCCTGACCAGGTATGGGATCCTGAAACATTGTCCCCAAAGGTCCAGCATTCAATAACACAGTCTCCCAGGAGACTGAAGGTGGTGACAGATGTGCCTCCTTATGTGGTTGTGCCAAGTACCCTTACGAACTCACTGAGACCATGGGCTCAGAGCATAGGAGAAATCTTAGTCTCTTTCAAAAAGTAAAAGACAAACAACAGGACCCCGGTTTCATCTCAGCCTCCACAGGAAGGTGTGGTTAAGCCTCCACATTTTAAAAGTTTTCAAATGAATGTATTCATTTGGAAAAATACACTAGGATATTTTTCATATTTTCCCCACTTCTCTGATCAGGATGTAATTTTAAATATATCATTTTAAATTTTAGAGGAAGCTACTTACTGCATTGTTTTAAGTTTAAACTCTCTTGAATAGAAAATGAAATAACTGTATTTCCAACTTTAGACAATATATAGTACTACTGTCTTACAGCACTTAAAATAATAATTTAAATAATATCAGTCCGTCAGATCTTGGACTATGATTTAATCTTAGAATTCTTCAGCAAAGTCCCTGGAGAAATAGTCTTAAACAGAAGCACGGATTTTGGCTTCATGTGTGAATTATTTTTTTATCTCATGAGCAACAGTTAGCTCACATAAATGTCGTACTAAAAAAAAAAACAAACAAACTGTGAAGCTATAAAATACTATTTACATAAAAGATGGTATAAAATAAAGTTCTCAGTTCATTTTCTTATGGAGAATCTGCTACAGGGTTGACGAGCATCTTCGGAGTTGTGGGTTAGAATAGAGAACTGTCCACTTTCCCTCCAGGTGGATTAAGAGCAAGTTACAGCTAAAGATACAGGTGGAGGGGGGATAGCCTCCTGGGTTTAGTTTGTTTCCAGTGTGTAGCATGTAGCACACGATCTATATTTGCTTCTCCCCAGTTCCCACAGCATTACTGTTTTAATACATGCCCCAGTGGTGCCAACTTTTACATCAAACTATGATATAGTCAAAACAATTATCATTGATTTGAGGAGCAGAAAAATATACTTATTAAATTGATTTGACTGTATATCTAGGCGTACAGAAATCTGTCATTTGCTGATACTTCTTAACAACGAACGGGGCATCACCTTCTCCTGAGTTTTACGCAGACAGTAAATATGCTTTGAAGCTTTCAGTAAAGCATTTAGCCCAGGAAATAACTTTTTTTTACAAAAATAACCATTTTCTTTCTACATTAAATATTGTGTATACATTATACATTAGCAAATAGTCTGTCAAAAATAAAACAAAAATAAAAACTTTTCTTAGTATATTAAAAATACATCATTGTTGACTTAACACATGACCCCACATAAGTATTATTAATAAAATAGGAATATTAACATAATTAGCCATGCAGTGCATCCCTGCTCAGAAGCTTAATGGCACCATTCAGACTTGTGGCAACGTCGGCTCCCCTGAGGTCACTCTTTCATATTCCTTCTTTGGTTCTTTGCCTTTTCGATTTCTATACCTAGAAATATTCAGAAATGAAGCTGTTAGCACTGTAGTTCACCGTAATAAGAACAAAGTATGCTAACAAAAGAAACAAATATATGCACTCAAAAGGTACATTAGCATAGTGTTTCCAAAATGACAGAGGTGAAGAGGTTTAGGTTGGACACGAGAGAAAAAGAGGGGAGGAGGGGTTAGTATTTATGGACAAACAATTTTGGGAGGAAATGGTGAAATGCAGTTAAAGGACTTCTCAGAGGCTTTCACATTAGATGATGAAATTGTAAAATTCCAGGAAAGCATGTGACCACATTAAATCCTCGGCTGTTTTAGCATTTTTTCTTTTTCTGTCTTCCCTTCTCTTTCTTTCTTTCTTCCATTCTTTCTTCCTTCCTTCATTTCTTTCCTTCCTTCTTTCCTTCCTTCCTTCCTTCCTTTCCTTTCCTTCCTTCCTTCTTTCCTTTATTATTAAAGTACACATATTCTGAATATCACACTACATTATTACATTCTACCCATCACAATGATGTCAATCATTAGGTGACTGACAATGTTCCAAGTGCTTTATGGTCATTATTTATTTTATACACACATTTATCATTATCATCTTCATTTTACAGACAAAGAAAGTGAAGTACAAATGGGTTACATAACCTAGCCAAGTTCTTCCATCTAGGATTCATATATTTATCATGATTCAGAATCTTCATTTACTCAATCATTAAAGCTATCTTCCTAATACTCTGAATTCATTTTCTACCCATTTTGGAGATAAAGCGTGTAGCCCTGAGGAAACTGCATAATGTTTTTGCTTAAGAGAAGAATAAGATTAGAAAGTTTTTATTTAGGCTCAGTTCTGCCACTTATCAGCTAAATGAGCTGGACCATCCCAATTGACCTCTCTGGGTCTCATTTTCCCCCCTTTATAAAGAAAAGGATTGTAGTCAAAGACCTTTCAAGTGTATTTCAGTTTTAGTAATATGCAGTTCTGTGACTATAACTAACTTAAAAAGGCATTATCATTTGATGAATACTTAGAATCAAACATGGGCAAAATAAATTTAATCTTGTAATAACAGCACCCTTTCAGGCTTTCAAAGTAAAGGTGCATTACTTTCAGCAAAAAATAAAATAAAATTCACTCAAACCTACCCTAAAACATTTGTATCAGTTCCAAAATAAGAAGGATTTCATGGAGACATTTTACAGGCAGTTATTATTAATTAAGTCACACTATTCCCAAATCCTGATCCTAATCCTAAAAAACTGACAATCCGATGGACTGTCAGTAGTTTCAGTGCCCACTCTATATTCTATCAGTTATCAGCATATGTCAGTACAATATTGTACATGAAGATGGAGTGATGAAGATGGAGGTTCTGGGGACTGACATAAACCAGTTTTTAAAATTAAACTTTTATAATTACCTGGAAACTCATTTCTACTAGTCTGCCTTAAATTTCAAAATCTTAAGCCTCGGGGTTACTGATTTATAAAACGTGTTTTATGAAATACAAAATTTGACCTACTAAATTAAATACAAGTGACTAAGTTTAACATTGGCATGGTACCTTACGGTTTACTTTCACATGTGTTATATTCAATACTGAAAGCAGTTCTGTCATTCATGTAGGATAAGGATTTCCATCTGTATTTTATAGAGGAAGGAATTGATACTCCCAGCTTGACTTGCATAAAGTCACAGAGATAATAAATAACAGAGCCAATAATATAGTCAAATCCAGACATTCGGCTGCTAAAACTTCTTTACAAATATCATCAGTCCAGAGTCTGTCTTATCCCACTAAATAATGCTTTGCCGTATTTTTATCCAGTTTGTAATGTATTGTATAAATGTAACTTACAAAAGTAGAATGTTAAAAAAAAAAGAAAACGCTGGCTTACCATCTGCAGAAATAATACATGGAACCAGCGACTATGACGAGGAACAAGATAACAAGAATCACAGTCAAAGCCACATATTCTTTGCTCAGAGGTTGTTGGACGGTTAAAAAGAAGTGTTCGCATCGGACACCGGTGTAACCCACTTCACACCTAAAGGAAAATGCACAGAAAGATCAGTTATTTAAAAAAGGAATCATGGTTCTGAATTAGTTTGGTAAGAGCTAAGAGCTAATCTCACACTATCATGCAAGGTTTGCCAAAAGTTGTAACGATGAATTCAAAGGCTGACCTTAAACCTGGGCCAGCTTTGATAAAAGAGCCCCACATAGCCCTCAAGCTCAGTTGTGGTAGTAAAACGATAGTCTGATTCAGCTGCTGAGGTGGCTGAAAACGGTGCCTTTTAAGTTTTGTAGGTTTGAGGTGCTTTTCGTATAAATCAGTGGAATCAATTCTTGTAACAGTGGCTGGCACATAAGCCCAGTGAAAAGATTAAAAGCTCAGCTGCTACTGTGGCAAGTGTGAGAGGAAGGCACCGGAAGCCCTCCCCATTCTGCACCCCCAAAGAATCTGTACAATTTGATAATTATTGTTGGTTCTACTATTTGTTCCCTAGTTTAAAAAAAAATCACTTAATAAAGTTTTTAATAGTACATATAAACGGCATGCCGATAGTACATATAAGTTGCAGCCCATGAAAATAATAGAGTAACTTAAAAAAAAAAAGAGAAATACAGTTTTTTTAAAAATTGCTTCTGTTTGTTTGTATTTGGCATATTACCTGCAGTAATTTTCACTCATGTCTACCAGGTAGATGCACTGTCCATGCAAACAGTAGCCATTCATATCAGAGCTACATTTTGTGATTGACACCTGAGCCACACGTGGATTGTCCTCTGTCTGAACTGTAAAAGAAATGCAAAGTTGAGTAAATTCTGTTGCTTCCCTTTTTTTTTTGTATGAATATATATAAGTTTATTTAATGTGAAGAACAAAATTACAGTAATAGTAATAGTTTCATTTATGTTTTTACTATTCTGATTATGAATTTCATTAACAAATGTTCTTGAAACATACCCTGATGCACTTACCAGCTCTTTTGATAGGTCATTTTTTATTTTTATTTTCTATTTTTTTTAATTTAGTTATAGTCATTTTACAATATTGTGTCAAATTCCAGTGTAGAGCACAATTTTTCAGTTATACACGAACATACGTATATTCACTGTCACATTTTTTTTCACTGTGAGCTACCACAGATCTTGTATATATTTCCTTGTGCTATGCAGTATAATCTTGTTTATCTATTCTACATTTTGAAATCCCAGTCTGTCCCTTCCCACCCTCCACCCCCTTGGCAACCCACAAGTTTGTATTCTATGTTTATGAGTCTGTTTCTGTTTTGTATTTATGTTTTTGGTTTTTTTTTAGATTTCACATATGAGCAATCTCATATAGTATTTTTCTTTCTCTTTCTGGCTTACTTCACTTAGAATGACATTCTCCAGGGACACACATGTTGCTGCAAATGCTGTTATGTTGTCGGTTTTTATGGCTAAATAGTATTCCATTGTATAAATATACCACATTTTCTTTATCCAGTCATCTGTTGATGGACATTTAGGCTGTTTCCATGTCTCGGCTACTGTAAATAGTGCTGCTATGAACATTGGGGTGCAGGTGTCATTTGGAAGTAGGGTTCCTTCTGGATATGTGCCCGGGAGCGGGATTCCTGGGTCATACGGTAAGTCTATTCCGAGTCTTTTAAGGAATCTCCATACTGTTTTCCACAGTGGCTGCACCAAACTGCATTCCCACCAGCAGTGTTGCTTTCTTTAAAGTAGTAATAAGCCTTTCATAATAGTAACCACTGAGCTGCTATAACAAAGCTGGTCAGGTATTTTCAGGACTAGGAAGTCACTGTGATTACCAATAAACACACACCTGACCCCCTAAAAACTGTCCAACAGACTAAACAAAACAAAATAAAGCCTGGGGATATAATTCCCAGAAGACAACCTTTAAGGATAGAAAAGGTAAGCTTAAGACATATACATAAAAATCACAGTTATTCACTTATCCAGACAAAGTCAGTGTGATTTTTTCAAATCTCAAAATAATCCTGACATTACTCCAAAAGCAACAGCAGGCTGAATCCACTAATTAATTTAAGAAAGCTTAATTCTATAGTGGGTTTTAAGCCAGCAAGGCCTGTCTGTGTGTGCGTTCCCAATCTTTTGAGGTTTGGGAAATCAATCAAAGTCTCCCAACATCTCTAAAGATGAGACCTGACATGAACTAGACAAACTGAGTTATAAAAGCCTTGGCTACATAAATACAGCAATAAAAGCAGGAGCCTCTTTAGAATAATGTTGCAACCTACACATAAAATACAATTTAGAATATTTTAGATATTAAAATGTGAAATATGCTTGTGAAACAGTCACACAAAGTATCTTGAACAAAGCATCCTGAGTGTAATACTCTTGTTTAAATAACCAAAAAAAGGAAGGGAGGAAGACCAAACCTCTAGAGAGTGCTGATTTTCTTTGTTCCTTACCTCTTTAAGATCAAATCTTTATATATAACTAGATGTCCAGTCCCTCTGCCTCCGGTTATTCCTTTATATAATTTTTTCAGATCACTAGTTCATTGGAGGGGGGATGTTTTAACAATTCTTCTGTTATCCCCTCCTTTTTTCCCCACTATCATGTATTTATAGTCTTTGAGTTTATATTTCTGCTAAGAACGTGTAATTCTTTGATGCAACACCAACAAATCTGGGCTTACCTAAAGCTGTGCAGTTATCTTCGGACTCTCCTGGGATACATGAAGGAATCACTGTTGTACTGAGCACTGCTTGTAGAAGGTGGAAACCTATTTATGGAGGAAAATCAAATATATAAATAATGCTGCAAAGAAAGAAATCCTGATCAGATTTCTACATAATTACAGTATTTATAGTTTTTTAATTAAATCATAAATTTGGCCCATCAAAACTGTAAAAGAAAGTAATTCATGGAAATAGGAATATAATTGAAAATAAATGAACCCCTCGCTCCTCTTTCTATGGGTAAAAGCCCTGGCATTGTATTCAGAGTTATAGACTGGACTTGCTCTAAATATTTCACAGTAACCTTTTCAAAGACCTGATTTTGAAGTTTGATTTCTTAAGAAGCTTAGCAATTGGAAAATTGGAAAATTTCCACTGTTTGACCCATGATGTGTTCAGAGCAATGCTCCAAGCCAGAACCTATCACAAAAGAAGCCTTCAAATTAAAAAATCAGCTTCTATGTATGGTAACAACAAAACGGAACTCTCAACCTCAGATAAATTAGTTATCCCTTTAAGCACCTAAGTTACTCTTTGCTTTCCACATGAAAGTAGCTTTTAATTAATAAAGTGTAATCTAAAGTCAGAACATATCTCATCTAACACGGGAATGAACACGCGTGCTGGATGGACCACAGTGAGCCCTAGAATCCACCCCTAGAATCCGGTCAGCCCAGGAAGAGGTTAAACAAAGCCTTGTCATCATCTGTCTCCCCTGAAAAGACAAATGTTGGAAAACAGGCACCAGAATGACTCAAGTGGTTTCTGAATCGCATAGAAAGTATAAGAAGAATCCTTTTAATTGCACGGATGTTTACTGAAGAGAGTTTGGCCTCTTTTTCTTAAAAGTCATCTATTTGCTCTTCAGTCACTCTTTCCAGGCTCTGTGAGTAACCGTTGTATAATAAATATTATTGGTGGTGGTGGTGGTGGTGGTAGTTGGCAGCCGTTAGCATTTCTTGAACATGCACTACATGAAGGCATGGTTCTACCCTCCTTACCTATATTGTCCCATTTAATCCACTCACTCACTCTTTGAAGAAGATACAACTGTTCTCCCCATTAGACATATGAGAAAACTGAGACATAAAGAGTTTAAGTATCTTTCCCAAGAGTACACAGCAATGTCTTTAATGGGCCACATTATAGATTTGGAAACAGGCAATAATACTAGAGTCTAATGGGCTTGGACATCACAGGGAACAAACGTGGATAAATGTAATTGAAGCAGATTATTTAACCCCATAAGGAGGCAACAAAACATGGTGGAAAGGCAATCCTGGGAGAAAACTCAGGCTATGTAACTTTGGACAAATTAATTAACTTCTCCAGATCTTAATTTTCCCTACTTTATAGAGTTTTGGGGAGAATTAAGTGAAATGATATTTTTCTGAAACGTCCAACATACCAGAGACTTGATGAATGGTCCATGACACTCAACATCCAGCAGCAGTATATGTGGGTAGTGCCCTCTGCTGGTCAATAACAAGGTTATAAATCGCTCTGTAATTTGATACTTTAAAGGATAATTAAATCTAAGTAATAAAGAATTTTATTTTTTCTCAACAGAGGAGGTATGTATATGTTAAGAAAACTGCACATTCTCTGGGTAAAACAAAAATTTAAAACTAAATTACACAAGAGCATCAAAGTTTGAGATTTCTTATGTTTCAAACTTGACACATAACAATCCTGCGAAGTAGTTATTAGCCCCAAACAACCTCAACCCAGATAAATTGTCTTGTCCAAGATCAATTATCTAGTGACCATAGAAAGTAAAACTTAGGAATCTATCTTTTGACATCGTCTCATAACCTTTCAATGATTTGAAAGTACCTTTTGAAAAGTTTAGAACTATCTCCTTCCCACTCCATATTTCTCCTACAATATAAGTAATGCTTCAATTGCTGTTACGGAGTTGGGGTAGGGTGGAAATCATCTTTCTTAAATGACAAAAAAATTGCTAAAGTTTGGATTTCACTGTCAGTTGAACAAAGATGGAGAAAGATGACTTTGTCCACATGGTCTTCTTGAGAGAATGAACTAGATTCTCATCCAAGCCAATTTTGTTCTACTTCTCAATATAATTTTGACCTGCACTTTCACTTCTGAAGAGTTCTCGATGTGTGCTTTTACATCCATGAAGCTCCTCCATGCTTCTTCAGTGATGGGAGGAGATATTACCAATTCTCCCACTGCAAAAGGGCCATCCAGGTCCATGGTGCAAATGCACATTTCTCTACCTGCAAAGAATCGTTTCTTTATCCTTAGCACAAATTAGACCCTAGTCTTTCCTGTTCGGAATTGCTTACAACTGCAATCTGCAACTATTATAGAATTAAGCTAATTTCTTTAAGGTGTTGCTTTGTAGTCTTTTTTTTTTCCCCCTCAAAGGTTTTTAGTATTGTTAGTTTTTCTACTGTTGGAAACTGTGTTCCAGCTGGCCAGGCCACAAGTGAAATATTTGCCTTTATGAATTAAAGAATGTACAGGGCAGGGCGTGCCTCTACAAAAACTGGGCTGGCCTAACCTGTGACGCTCCCTTGGACATAGTCCATCACTCAGGATGGTTTCTGTCAGACTTGATACGTTAATCCAACATCCGGGTATTTTACAGAAGAAACTATAAATAATTTTAAATGCTTCTATCAAATGAAAGTGTTTAGACTACAGTTCCAACAGATGTACATAGCCAACAAACTAGCAAAATTGGTTCTAAATCATGTGTCCATCTACACAGCTCTATTGCTTTAAAAGAGTGGTTCTTAAGCTTCCCTCAACTTCATCTCTGCCCCTGAGTGTTGCCAAATACAGTAAAGGAGTAAGTGGAAGTAATCAAAAGACTGAAACAACCCAGCCACGGACAATTTTGATATCCACCACCCTGTCACCCTTATAAATCACAACTCATTATTTTAAAGTCATACAGGGAAAGAATAGATGCTAAAGTCATATCCATATATTCCATTAATCTTTCAGCTTTTCATGACATTACTGTCATTTGACCATGATAATCTTTCTGTAATTCAACTGCAAATACTACATTTGAGTTTTTGATCTTGACCATGGGTCCTTGCTAAGAAAATAATTCACTATGATGTTAAAGATTCTGAAATACCAGAGGGTCAGTAAACAGATCTGGTGGCCAGCTCCACCTTGGTAACTAAGACACAGAAGAATTCTGTTCTAAATGATAATGGGGCAGAGGATCTGAAAACTCAAAACTGGCCGTTGGAACATCTATTTCAATAATGTTATGAAAATAAAAGTCCCTTTGGAGGCCACTATTTCTGTTAAATTTCCAAATGGGCTTCAGGTGTCTAAAGCTCCTGTCCATCTGTCTACCTTCACCTTTCAGGGATTTGTTTCAGTGAAATGGCCAACTGTGCCAGCAGGAAGTGATGCCGATGACTCACAGGATACAAATCACCTCTACTCTGTGAGTCAGAGCCGAGCCCACACCTTACACAACACCGGGGACAACGTGTGGGAGAGGCTGAGTACCACCACCCCAGTAGGGGATACTAAACGTCGTGGGCCCCGAGCACTAAGTAAGAAGTGCTTGCGTGAAAGTCAGGAGGAGTGACAGATGTAGAAAACATCCTTTTCATTGCATATGGTTTCTTTTGTCCTTGTTTCCTTATGGCCACACAGAGGGGCCATCTAGAAGGAGACTGACATTTGGTGACTGGCTGACCAAACCTATTCTGCAATAATCTTGACGTTCTCAGAAATAAAACGACTTTCCTGAATAACAATCAAGCAAATACAAATGATCTCAAATAAAATGAGACAGGTTGCAGAATGAAAGGAATGCACTTTATTTTCCCAATTGAACCTTTTAAGATATTTAGACCAGAACAGCAAATTCAAATGAATCATAGTATTTGTCCAGCCCAAACAGGCAGCAGAATCTGCTCTGTTCACACTTCTGCTGTGGTCACCTGCCTGTGTGCTCATGGACTGTTAGTTCTCTACCTTCTCCACGGCAGTCTGTGATTTTAGGATTTGTCTGTAACGTAGCAGGCTTGTTAGGTCTTGTATGCTTTCAAGGAGTGAATATGCTGTCACCGTTTCTAGATGTCTTTTTGTTTTAAATTAAATTCCACTATTAGATAAAGTCATGCCCCACTTGGTTAAAATAATAGCAAATTCTTTATCGCATCAGACACTGAAAATAATTAATGTCAGTTCTTTCTAGTAACAGTCTATTTTTCAGAGACTAGTGTACAAATATATATATATATATATATCTCATTATATATATATATATGTATCTGTATATTGTAAACCTTGCCTTCTACCATCAATCATTTTCTTCCTACAGTTTTTCAGTGTTACCCTTATAACTAAGCTTCATTAAAAGAGATTAAAAACAGGATAACGAGATGAAACCAGAGGTTGATATAATAATGGGTTACAAATAAATCTTTTAATTTTGAGTTTCAAATACAGTCATAAGATCTCCCTTGTCAAGTGTCAAGAAAAGATTTAATAGGCTGCATTTTTCAATTCATAGGCATTAAATCAAACCCTTCAATTTCAGTAGTAATTTCTAAATCATACTTCAAAGCGCTCATACAGTTCAGTGATCATACAATACTGTAGCTAAAGCTACTCAAATCAAGAATCAGTGAGTCAAAATATAAGAGTATAGTTTACTTTGGCCTAAACATGGATTTAAAGGTGTATGTCTTATTCATAATGGAAATGTCCTCCTAAGGCAGGAGAAAGCACATCAGCTACTGGATAAAACTACTGTACACTTAATTTATATTGATCTGGGTGCTTTGGAACTTTGTGACTAAGAGCTCTAAATATGGGAATTGCAGCCCCTACAACCAAAGATTCATGTCTAGAATATTACTTCAAACGGTCTATTGAAAATATGTATTTTTTTCTTCAAGATAATGTTACATGGTAGGGTCTTTTTATAAACTTTTCTATCTTTATTCTCTTCCATGTTGTTTCTCACACTTACCCCTATTGATCCAATTCAGAAATTTAAATTTCTATTACTTTACTGTTTTGACATAAAAATCTC